GTTGTCCACAGACTGGGTATACTATAACCCCACTTTACAACGGTATGCATTAGAGATTAATGAACAACAAATGTTGGGAAAGCAAACCAAATTTGTTATAGATAAATATATGTTTTACAGAATCAAATTTTCTCTGGAAATATGACAGAATTATTAAATCATTGGCATACATTTGTGTTTTGTACATTTCCTAGATTTCACATTTTAAATGTTTACTGATCATCGTCATATTGTAAGTACTCTGGCGATTCAGATACAATCAATGGAATTGTCATGATTTTCAACATGTCATGCAGAATTTGTGCTATGAAAGTATATAATTTTACATGATCAATTTTGAGGGTTTTTTGTTTTCAAAAATGCCTTTTAGAATTTTCTTCTCTTAATTTTTCATTGTAAATTAAAATTTCTGTGTAAATTCGCATGCAGTGGATTTACTTTCGGTTGAATATGGCAATGGGTCTTTAACGTGTAGATAAAATTATATCGTTTGTTCAATAATTTCAGCTATCAAACTGGCATCGGTAAGAAAATCGGGTCTGATCATTACGAATACGCATCTAAAACACAAACACCTACCTTAACTGGCTGGCCAGTGGCCAGATGATCAGATGTTGACACTAAGGAGTTTGTCAACGTCGCAGACAGTTGTTTCGATTAACTGACCAGTAGTCAGATGTTGTATTTAAAGATGTTACAACATCTCTTGAATGAACAAAGTTTTGTGTATGTGTGAGAGAAAGGTTTCACTTTCCTAAGGACATTTGTCAATGAAAGTTTTAAGAGCAAATTTCATATCAAATATCAATAAATCATTTTACGTAAATTTAGGGTCTGCATTGGAGCAGGGCCAATTCATGTAAATTTTGGGAAATAGATGTAAGAGTTGAACTTAACCTACCATTCCTTTTTTTTGGAATGAAGTATTTTGTCGAAATGGAGTTTTACATTTCATCATAATAAGGCAAATAAAACTGTGGACAAAAAATTTAAAAGTGAAAGTTTGAAATATTTATGTCCGTGACACAGGCCCCTTGGGCCTCATGTTTTCCTATTTTAGTCTCCATATAGCTTTTGTATTTATAACGTAAACATTAAGCAGTCGCGTGAAATCAATGACGCCTAGTCCCGAATAGAGGACTCAATTTTCAGACCTTTTCAGAAACATCCAACACACTGTCTGTAATAGATTACAAACACTGCAGTACTTCCAACATACTGTCTGTAATAGATTACAAACACCTCAGACACTTCCAACACGCCGCCTGTAACAGATTACAAACACCGATGGAAAAACACTGTCAAATTAATGTATGCAACGATCATAACTAATTAAAATTTATTTATAACTCAGGGATATTGATTTATTATCCGTTTACGGTAAACGACTTTTTGTTGCCCCTAACAACGTAAAAGGTTCATATCTCTCACTCTCGCGTGATTATGACGAGAGATCCTCATTCATAATCTATATTTAATTTTTATTAGGTGCTTGTTTATACTAAATGTAGCTAAAACATCGAAATTTATTCATGGATAATGGAAATATACAAAAATATCTGCATGAAACAACAATATATTTTTTATCGCGTTTGATGTTTTGTTCATACAATTAGAACACTTACAACAAGTCCACAGAAAAGAGAGGTACACTCGTTGCTTCATTTTGATTTTCGATGGTGACGACTGTCTCCTTGAGATTTGTTTGGAATTTTCAAAGACCATGAAATTCACAGACCGGCATGCCATTTGACAAGGTCACAACGTTCTGTTTGTATGCTACACTGAAGTTGTAAGGAAGGAAGAGAGTCCTTGGTTTGAGAGTGTTTGATCTTTTGGGAAAATTAATAAATTTTGAAGTTTTTTTCCTTGATATTTTTTACGTCCTTGCAACAGCCAATGTAATATATGAAGACGCTGCCTGCTGATAAAGTAGCTTTTGACACACACTCTTGATAGGATACAAATGATACAAACGGCTGTATTCAGCTGAGTGTTCATTGGGGGCTACTAAAAGTTGGACTCCTTCAGAATGTTTTTTCCCTTCTTCTACCAAGGGACATAAAAAAGACCAAATAAATCGGTTGTCCCCATCGTTAAATTTTGGGTTCTATCCTGTCTGTCCTTTCCGTCTGTGTGTTCAGCGGTTTCTGTTGCCGGCGTCCCGTCATCACACGACCTTGGAAGCTTGCGAGGACGTTGTGTCCTTAAAGAAATGACAAACCGACCACATTATGTTAACAACGAGCAGCAAACAGTCTTTTGCATCCTAATCATTATGATGAGCACATAGTTTGAGTACCATTCTCTATGACTTTGGTATGTTATGACATGGGGACGGAACCCAGACTTACTTGAACGTTCAACACGATAAGGCCAAATTGTGAAATGGTGCCAAACACCAAATATAAGGTAACATATATCATTCAGTGGGTAATGCAGTGCTCATATCCCTGTGTGTAAATCAAACACTACACAGCAAACACTAGTATCATTTACCGCTGAATGCTTCTTTTTCCCGCCAAACTGTTTCTTAGTTACAGTGTTGATACAGTTTTACTTATTATAGAGTTATTGAATTTCATTTTTAAATTAAGGATGCATGACAATCATTTTTGTGTGGTTTTATTGCATCATAAACGGGTAATTGTTTGATATCGTTCATCTTAACATTTAACAGACGCCATCTTGCCAAAACCTTTCCTCTAGTCTAAACGATTATTGCGTTCCCGACCAATAGTCTCACCAAATGTCTGTCAACTTGCGGGGGAACTGTGACAGCATCACACGTCTGAATTCCAGAGTTAACAAGGCGAGCTATACACCTAGCTACTATGATATGTTAAGCACCGGGAGAAAATTAGCTAGAAATCCGCCATATTGAAATAACATGTAAGTGGGGATATCTTTTTTGTGCTCGTCAAGGAAATTGAGGACAATATTAACCTAACTGTTATAAGGGCCATATCTATTCCGTTCATCAAAAACAAGACAGATGGAGACCATCAAGACACCGATGTAATGATATTGCAGCATCTATTCCGGTTGCCTGGCAACGAAACTGTTATGTGTGTCCCATGCTGAGGTACAGAAGCTCATTAAGGAAAACTACACAAAACTTCTAGATCTATTGCACTTAAACTGGTTATTTTTAATGGATTTGAAAGGCATATAAATAGCCGTGAAATTTGTCTTGTTTACGTTAAGATGCATCATAGATGAACAAATTAAATTTCATATGACGGTTTCAAGGAGTAGTTCAGACGTTAAATTCGTACAAATATGGCTTCAATAACGTATTGTAGTTAGTTTGTGAAAAAAGGCATGTAATATCTTATTCCTAGACATGTGAGGTAAATTGTTGTAAATAAACGAATCTGCCTTGCGTCTTATAAACAAGTTTTCGACGAAAACACAAACCTTGTCGTTTTCTACATAACTGATATCAACAAATACACAAAGATGAAAAATACTGACCTTTAATCATCGATATAAACAATAGCTTAAAATATAGACAAGATACATACAGCGTAGAGAATGTGTCTCCACATTTCATCAATGACATTCGTCAGTTTAGTGTGATGACGACCCTGTCTGGTCCTCCATAGAACAAGTGGAATTTCACGTTGCCACCTGGATGATTTCCAAATCTGTTAATAGTGACGGGGAAAAGACATACTGCGAGTGACAAAGTGGAAAGTACAATATGGTGGGCGATCACTTCAGTCTCTCAGCACCAACACATAAAATCCAATATCCTATTAACTAACATGAATGTCGCTAGTCACATAAACAGTACTTTCGTTTAGGTACTTCATGTGTAAATGGGGTTTTATATTGATAGTAATTATCATATTCTTTTGATTAGAATGTTTATGCATATTTTGTGTGGTCTTTATCTGATATTGCGACGAGCTCTGATAGTCAACACTTGTTTACCGAAATATGTATAAATTTCGTGCTTTCTTCTATAAATTAATTCATGGATGATATTAGTATGTACATATGCGGGTACATTATATGAGACATGACAGTCTTACAAACATGTAAAGTCACTGTAATATACAATATTTTGTACTGTTTTAATTCACATACATTTAGAATTATCAACATACAGCGAACATGCATGTGTGGCTTTCATTCGGACCGATATACATTATAGACACTTCAGGGGTTACAGTTCCTTTCGCTCTCTGCATTCTGGAACATGACATGGCAAAATTGAACGTTCCATGTCCGACACCTTGTGGACAATACAAAAAGGTCTTTTTTATCTTTTGATGTACATCAAACGAATCTCGAGGTCGCATAACAGTATAATGTACTGGCTATGAATTTGGGTGTCGCGCCTTTGTAATTTTTAAAAGCAGCGTATCATATTGTGATTGGTCAGGTTTTTTCTCCTGGATCCAACCAAATTACTTCGTTTGTGCCGCTAGTGTTGTCAAGACATGTTCCAGGGGTGCTTACAGCGGAAGTGATAGTAATCACTGGAGTATCGATGATGGTCGATGTATGCTTAATCGACGACTGCAGAAGATACAGTTAGTTCTGATATGTCTAGATAAACAAATGAGAATACAGCCACTGTGACCGTAATTTGTTTTATGACAAGGCAATGTTTTATTAATAATAGTTCAGTCTCGGAAAATGCAAATTTAAATCAAGATGCCGGCATCAACCATACAGACCGCGGACATCCGTTCTCATGCCGGCAATTTTTACTACGGTCAGAAGTTGAAAAGTGACAGCTGTGACATGGGATGACAGCTTGAACTCTTATGAATATAAAAGTATGATTGCATCAATCAGTTTGCGAAAATTACAGTTGTGGTGACGCACAATTCACCAAAAACACCGTGCGCACATCATGTAACATTGTGCGATCCCACAACCGTATATAATGATCTATCAAAAATGTATTGCAGGAAAACCAAGATTATATCATACTGAAAGAAAATATTTCATATTAATCTATTTTTACATTTTTTCCTTTTTAGGTTGCTGCATTGCTGAGTATGATTATTGGAGTCATTTTACTATCCCTGGCTATAGCGGCCAGCGGCTGGATCAGGGGAGATAATAAGCAGGAAGGTCTTTGGGCTGTCTGTTACGACGACGCCAACGAGACAGGCGTCATCAACTGCTCGGAAAACGAATCACGGATAGGCTCCTTAGGTACAGTATTTGTAATAATTGATGGTAGCATATGCTCATTGGAGAAAAGCTTTATATACTTTTGTTGAGGCTATTGAAGCTAGTTTTGGTAGGATTATATATGAATGTTTCAAAGGCAAACACTTAGTTCTTTAAATAAGGTTTTCGTAACTTTTTTGAAAATATATCCCGAGACACACGGAATCTTTACGGGAAATGTACGTCTCCCTCTATGTATAAAAATATACCAACATGTCAACACAATCAACAAAAAGTTCAGGTTTTTGTAAAGAGTTTTCGTGAAAAAGACGAAAGATTTTCAGGCAAAGATCTGAGAGGACAAAATCCAAATGATCATGTGGAATTGCATTTGGGTATTGTCTGAAAACTTGACCTTATTCTCATTGTACTTACGTGTATCTAGAGTTTACGAGCAAATGTTACCTCTATTTATACTTTTGTGGAACTCGTTTGCTTCATAAGGTGACGTTGAAGACATGCTATCATTTTTGCATTTCTATCACAAAAACAATTTTTAAAAACTACAGAAAAATACCGACATGTCAACAGGATCTTAATTCAAACTCAGGTACAATAAAAATAAGGCAAAGTATGAACACAAGAAACATGTAGACGAAGACTCCTGAAAAGGGACCAGGAAAATAAGATTCACAACCCCATTACTTGAGTGTAACCTTCAGTGAAAAGACATGGTATTGTAGGGACAAACATAACAAATTCCATCCGTTTGACATAAACTTATCAATGAGAGTGTATCGTTGTGAATTACATGTGCATATAGTCCATTCTCAACACAAACTACCATTTGTCTGAGGAGAACAAGATTATGTCCATATTTCTATTGGAAGTCGCGCTTGAATTGATAACATTTTCCATTGGCAATTTTTATTCATCAAATCCTTCGACTCGACTCACAAAATTGACTCTTAAAGATATTCCTTTATTTTTCCATCATAACGATTTCTCTTTTTAATGGTTCGCTCAGTATCATATTCACTGTTAATTCCCCATCCACAGTCTTTGTATATAAGTCAAGGACAAAACATTTCTTTTGTTTATATTCTGCCCCAGGTTTATTGATTTTGAGTTTGAATTTTTATTATGTTCAAAACCTTTTATCGTGTTGTTGTGTTTGGAAGTCCTTGACATCTAGATCGCTTAATGGATCCTTGATTCAGTGATCTTTGGCGAGTTTCAAATTTTCATATCTTGATCTTGTATCGGATGTCATCCTGGGGAGTAAACAATCCTTTATTTTCTTTCATTGTTTTCATTTTACACTTTGAATAAAACATCTTTCTTAATCCAGGAAGTAGTTGCTTAGCTCCGAATGTCAATGGTTTTTTCATTTTCGCTAATCAAATTACTTTCAATCATACTTTCGAATCTTGCCAGAGATTAATTACCAATGTTTATTGTGGTTTCGTTTTCAAAAGATGAGTTAAAGACATTATAAACATTTCAAAACTATCAGATGTTTTATTTCTTTTTTGTTTTTTGTTTGTTTTTTTAACTGTATGTGCATGGTGAATATACATTAATCAGTTATAGGATAAACAGCACTGCAATGCATGACGAAATTTTCAATTATGTATTGTATTACTCTACCGTTGAGACCAGATGTTTTGACAACACTTAAAGCATTCGTATAACCATGATCGATTCTACAGAGAATCTCTACAGAAGAGAAGCAAAGCATGTACTACAATCTCAGAGGTTACATTGCTGTGGTAAACTCGATATGTTCGAGGTACGCTAGATATTGCAACAACGGGGTCTAAAAACCATGACGACAGAACGGAATTTTAAACAGTATCCAACATTCAGTCTCTGACTATTTTTGCTAAGAATATTTATGGACAGAAAAAAAATGAACAGGACATTTAATATAAATAATGATTAAACATTTGATTTTTTCATCACTTTTTCGCCATTTTGATCGGACAAAAGTAATGAGATAGAAAATTTTTTTCTTATGGGGTCCATTCGTTTTTGAATCCAGTTAACTGTTTTTCTCTTGTTTTCAGATTGGATGGATGCCTGCCGAGCGCTTTCCATTGTTGCTTTGATGGGCGGATTCTCTGGGTTTATCGTTGGAACAATTGGAGTAACTACATCCGAGTTGAAAATGAAGCCATGCTTCTACACAACGGCAATGGTGTTAATGTGGCTCTCATGTAAGGTCCTACTTGTGTGTTGTTATGTGTTGTTAGTGTGACTGTTATGTAAAGTCATTGTTATGTGGTGTTAATATGACTATCGTGTAAGGTCCTTGTTATGTGGTGTTAGTGTGGCTCTCATGTAAGGTCCTACTTATGTGTTGTTATTGTGACTATCATGTAAAGCCCTAGTTATGTGTTGTTATTGTGACTATCATGTAAGGTCCTTGTTATGTGGTGTTAGTGTGACTATCATGTAAAGCCTTAGTTATGTGTTGTTATTGTGACTATCATGTAAGGTCCTACTTATGTGATGTTAGTGTGACTATCATGTAAAGCCCTAGTTATGTGTTGTTATTGTGACTATCATGTAAGGTCCTTGTTATGTGGTGTTAGTGTGACTATCATGTAAAGCCCTAGTTATGTGTTGTTATTGTGACTATCATGTAAGGTCCTTGTTATGTGGTGTTAGTGTGACTATCATGTAAAGCCCTAGTTATGTGTTGTTATTGTGACTATCATGTAAGGTCCTTGTTATGTGGTGTTATTGTGACTATCATGTAAGGTCCTAGTAATGTTGTGTTAGTATGACTATCATGTAAGGTCCTTGTTATGTGGTGTAATTGTGACTGTCATGTAAGGTCCTTGTTATGTGGTGTTAGTATGACTATCATTTAAGGTCCTACTTGTGTGTTGTTATGTGGAGTTAGTGTGACTATTATGTAAGGTCCTTGTTATGTGGTGTTAGTGTGACTATCATGTAAGGCCCTAGTTATGTGTTGTTATTGTGACTATCATGTAAGGTCCTTCTTATGTGGTGTTATTGTGACTATCATGTAAGGTCCTTGTTATGTGGTGTAATTGTGACTGTCATGTAAGGTCCTTGTTATGTGGTGTTAGTATGACTATCATTTAAGGTCCTACTTGTGTGTTGTTATGTGGAGTTAGTGTGACTATTATGTAAGGTCCTTGTTATGTGGTGTTAGTGTGACTCTCATGTAAGGTTCTTGTTATGTGGTGTTAGTGTGACTACCATGTAAGGTCCTTGTTATGTGGTGTTAGTATTGCTATCATGTAAGATCCTTGTTTTGCAGTGCCTAGTATGACTATGGAAAGTCCTTGTTATGTGATGTTAGTCTGGCGTTCGTGCACACACACACACACACACACACACACACACACACACACACACACACACACACACACACACACACACACACACACACACACACACACACACACACACACACACACACACACACACACACACACACACACACACACACACACACACACTGTAAACGAATCACCGATTTATTGATTATTTATTTTGTTAAGATTAATCACAGTGAAGTTGTTACTTTCGATGACATATTTTTTGTATTAATAGGTAATATTCTCTTGTATGTCTCCTTTATATTAAATGATAAATATTAATGATGATTATTTCTGACATAATTTTACCAGATGATTGACAGAATTCTTCACTTTTACAGCACTTCCTCTCTTTATTACGTTGATCGTATTCGCCAAGAGGTTTGTAGAGGAAAATCAGCCGGAGACCTGGTCAGTCGGCTGGCCATACGTGTTTTCCCTGATTGCACTAGCACTATACCTGCTTAGTGCCATCATTTTTATCGTAGACAGAAATGCTGATGAGATCGTATTGTGTGAGGTCTCTACAGCGACCGAAGAGCAGGGTATTGAAGAAGAGGCTGTCGATGTCTAGAAAGAATCCGAAGGAATGACGAGTCTCGAGGGAACCCAAATGAATCATGGATCTAATATTACATAGGAGATCAAATATGGAGTGTACATGTTCGCGATCATTATTAAGAAATTCCAGTTTTGAACTCAAGAACTGAAAACATGTCAAGCTGAAAGTATTTAATATGATTCCGAAGAACAAAAAAGAAATATTGTTAAAGAAAAGAAACTTCTGTTGACCGAAAGCATGAAAGCTTGATTGTCAAGGTCATGTTTGGGTTTGATTGTCAAAGAAACAGTGGTATCTATAGAGCTATCTTGACATCGATGACGTCACGAGTGTAGCCAATGAGTGTAACGGGAACCAAAGCCTGTAAGACTCACAGACCCACAGTTTACCCTGAAAAAAGAAGTGCTTTGCACTGTACCCGTAATCAAACTATCCCCAAACTGCACATCCGCCCGAGGTGACGCCCAAATTTGACTGTTCGAAGTGTTGCTGTGATATTTTAATTTCTGCTATTGTTATACATAAATTGTACGTCGTGTGGGTGCTCCCTAAGTGTAAGAAAATGTTTGATCACAATATTCCATTGGAATCATCTATGAACGAACGAGACAACAACTGGACAATCTTCACCAGCGTGTATGTAATTACCAAAATTATGTACCTCTACCTACACAATCATTTGCACGAAGGATGCAAATTTTATCACAAGAACATTATAATCATTCATCCAGATGCCAGCATGAAGCCATGTGATGATTAACCTGTATCTCACAACACTACAGATGAAGGTCATAGCTTTTGATCAAAGGTGATAAAATAGGTGAATGTCTTTTTGATCAAGGTGTTGACACGTCTGACAGTCATAGCTTTTTTGATGAAGGTAATGACAAAGATGGCGGTCTTAGCTTTTGATCAAGGTGATGAAATAGATGACGGTCATAGTTTTTGATGGAGGACATGACACAAATGACGGACAAAGCTTTTGATCAAGTAGATGACACAGATAACGGTGATAGTTTTTTTTATCGAGGTGATGAAACAGATGACGGTCTTAACTTTTGATCGAAGACATTTGGAAGGACTAGTGAGTTAGTCGAAAGAGGAGTGTTTCTGAGCAATTAAAAACAACAAATGAAATAATATCGGTATATCCACGACCTATACAAACACCTGAGAAGATACAATACAAAATATTTTGGCTATCCAACCATTATCCCACAGCTTCTAGATTTGTCTAGGTAACCAAGGTAACCAACGATTGGATGAGTGCAGGTTGTACTTCGAGATTTCCTAGGTATACTTCTCAGGAAGTGTTCTCAATCGTCACCCTTCCAGAAAACCTACACGTACCAGACAACTCAAGAAGTTGGTGGTAATATGGTATTGGGGCCAGACCGACATTTATATTCTAGTGTGGCATGTGATTTATATTGTACATGCTACATTGAAAATTTCTAAGGTTATTTAACACTTAGTTATAGCTGATGAAGTACATGAACTCTTGTTAACAAGATAAGACGAAGACCACCAACAATTTAGCAGTACCTAAGATAATAGACTCTTAGAATAACATGAAGAATATATTTTACAGGAAAAAGCCAATATATATATATAATATAATGAATTCAACAAATATCTATTATTTAAAAAATTAATCAATTTGAATGCAGAAGTGCTTCAAGTATATTAAAAATTATATATCGTCTGTTTGATTTGTATCAAGGCCGACTTCAATCAGAAAATAGTTTGTAATATTAATATGATTTTAGGTGTTCACATTTTAATATAATAGTATAAAATATCATTCTCCTGATATTAATTCTCAAAGTCCTGGGAAAATTGTTTTGATAGTGATATCGATGACGTCACAATTAAGATCACGTGATCACTGAATGGTACTTTTTGTCTCGCAACATACATATGATATTTTCTGTATAATACTATTAGAGGATATAGAAATAACTCGGACACGTGCTCAGGGAAAGCAGATATATATTTGTTTCAGTATGTGCATATATTACTTAATTAGGCTTCATTTTATCAAAGCTTCGCCTCTAGAACGCCTCTGTTCATATAATTGTTGTAAGGTCACCGGGTTAAGTGAAACTAACATTATTTTTGATAATCGATATCATTAGACTAAATAATCAATTATTTAATGTTCAAACATGCTGTTATCATATCATAATAAATCAAAATATAATTTGTCTCAAATAATGTTTGTTAAGTATAATATATAAATTCGATGTTATATATTAACGTAAAAAAATATCTATAGATTAAAATTGTATTGTTATATCTATGCAATGTCCATATAAAAATGAATGCGGCTGGTTTCTCTATCAGACCAGTGTCTATTATAACATAAAGGATATATCGTGTAATTTATATAACGTATACCGAGCATGCTAAAGTATTTATGAGATATAGGGTCGATGTGACGTGTTTAGTGTTACCATTATCCTTTGTATTTGGTTCATATACCAACACATGGTTATCCAAATATATTTATTTCATAAATCGTTGGCATGGCGTCGCATTGCCCCTGACAAAAACATTACACATACCAATATATATATAATATATACATATAAACTGCCACTGCAGCAGTTTGTAATCCCCCGTTTGTGTTTTACTCAATGTGACATAGACCTATGTGTACGACATTTATGCTGGCTCTGTACCTCGTTGGGGGAGGGGAGGGCATGGGGCCCTGTCGGGGTGGATCAAGAATGAAAAGAAAATAAAGAAATCCTTACGTTATAATTGTTGCTATAATAAATAAACTGTGTTAGGACGCTCTCTCCTTTAGAACCCGTCATCGGTATTCATGTGCTTGGTTGTAGTTTCTTTGGCGGCAGATGTCGGAATGCGTTATGGCGGTGCGTCTGTTCCGACCTCATCACATATACCTGATGCACATGTTGTGTAAATGTTGTTTCAGTTATGATAGAGAATCGTGCATTCCTGTTACGTCATCATAACTTACCGAGTGATGTGCGCGTGTTTCTAATCATAGCCCAAAAATTCAAACATTGACGGACCAGCCTTGTCATAATCTATACGGTTATTAGTGACCTTGGTGTACTGCTCTGATAGTATCGGGACTTTAAATGGCGACTTTGCATTATATATGTTTTAAGTTTGGATGTTTCATAACAAAAAATCTCATACAAAATGATACGGAGTAATCGTGCTACTAACCGATATCAGTCTTATTGTGGCGAAGACAGATATTCTCTGTTTGATGGAAAACATTAAACAACGTATTTTATACTCAAAATGTTACATATCTTGGTCAAGAGGTAGAGACGAGATACTGTTTATACGCAATACACTGCAAATCATAGGACAGAATAAAAAATGATGTTTTTGGCGATAAACAAACAGATAGAGCACATGCCAAGTTGCAGTCGCGTCGAGGTGAATAAAAAATACACAAAAACAAGACTATCGAGAAATAGTAAACATAGAGACGGACAGTTCGCTGTTTCTGTTTAGGCGTAAAAGTTAGCGTGCTTGTTTCTTAAAGTGCTTGTCGGTAAATCATCTGTACTGTTTATCGTCGAGCTAAACTTAGCCAGTGATGTTATAAATAGACTCGCTGCTTCAGAAACAGATGTGCATGACCGATGCGGGATAAATTAACGAAATCTATTCGTTATTAAATAAAATAAAAATTGACAAATCACCCAGCTGGCAATTGTTATATCTGTCAGAACTAATTAATTTGGTGTTGATATAACTGTCCGTCGTTTCATGTCCGTATTTAGCAGTTGTCAATTGTTTGATGTCAGTATCTAGCAACTGTCAGTTGTCTGATGCCGGTGTCTTGCAGTTGTCAATTGTTTGATGTCGGTATCTTGCAGCTGTCAGTTGTCTGATGCCGGTGTCTTGCAGTTGTCAATTGTTTGATGTCGGTATCTTGCAGCTGTCAGTTGTCTGATGCCGGTGTCTTGCAGTTGTCAATTGTTTGATGTCGGTATCTTGCAGCTGTCAGTTGTCTGATGCCGGTGTCTTGCAGTTGTCAATTGTTTGATGTCGGTATCTTGCAGCTGTCAGTTGTCTGATGCCGGTGTCTTGCAGTTGTCAATTGTTTGATGTCGGTATCTTGCAGCTGTCAGTTGTCTGATGCCGGTGTCTTGCAGTTGTCAATTATTTGATGTCGAAATCTTGTAGTTTTCTGATGTCGGTATTTAGCAGCTGTCAGTTGTTTGATGTCGGTATCTTGCAGCTGTCAATTGCTTGATGTCGGTATCTAGCAGTTGTCAATATGTGATGTCGGTAAATAGCAATTGTAAATTGTTTGATGTCGGTATCATGATTAAATCTATTATAATATCTTTACGTGAGCGGATTCAGGTGAACCTTGTTTTTCTTAAAATCACATGAATGTATTTACCTAGATTTTACATTTCAGTCCTCGCATACAGATACTGTCATGGCGATTTGTCAAGGTCATGTCTGAGAGAAAGCACGTGAGCGCGTGAGGAAGGTTTTATAGTACGTAACAGGCTGACTACATCATTTGAATAAGATTTATATGTTTGGAAAAGCCGTGTTTACCCTTGAAATCGATTTATGGTTTTTCCCTTGGATATTTCCATATTTTTGTTATGTTGTTTTTTGAAACCCAGTGTAATATTTTATTGTTTTTAGCCAAAAATGGTTACATGTTTTCATTCAGTTTTGAATAAAATTTATCCCTTTTTCTTTGTTTTTTTTGTCTGTGCCATGTTTTCCAGTCCATATGTACAATATTGTCATCAATCTGTTGTTTTAATATTTAATATTTAAAATACAAGAACAAAGAAAATATAAGAAATTGTTGGCTAAAGGTTTGAAGGGCTTTTCACATACATTCGACTTCTGTCCTAAAGCTCAATAACATCCACAAACTTGATAGTCTTTAGTCTTTCTATAATAAGTTTGAAAATATGTCAAACAACCAAGTTTAATTAGCAATAATATGAATTGTGAATTGTGATAGGTGTAATTATTGTATAAAACTCATAATTTACATGGATCGCTTTTTTGTGCCTATATGAACCCAAAGCTTTTATTTATTGTTTTTGTTAACCGTAATTATTCTTGAAAAAAAAAGCTTCGCAACAAAATCGAAATTACAGTAAGAAGATATTGAAATAGAGCAGGTACATTCTGTAATAGGTTTACTCTCACATACTGAAATAGAGCTGGTACATTCTGTAATAGATTTACTCTCACATACTGAAATAGAGCATGTACATTCTATAATAGGGTTACTCTCACATACTGAAATAGAGCAGGTACATTCTGTAATAGATTTACTCTCACATACTGAAATAGAGCAGGTACATTCTATAATAGGGTTACTCTCACATACTGAAATAGAACAGATACTTTCTGTAATAGGTTTACTTTCATATACTGAAATAGACCAGGTACATTCTGTAATAGGTTTACTCTCATATACTGAAAGAGATCAGGTACATTCTGTAATAGGTTTACTCTCACATACTGAAATAGAGCAGGTACATTCTGTAATAGATTTACTCTCACATACTGAAACAGAGCAGGTACATTCTGTAATAGGTTTACTCTCACATACTGAAATAGAGCAGGTACATTCTGTAATAGATTTACTCTCACATACTGAAACAGAGCAGGTACATTCTGTAATAGGTTTACTCTCACATACTGAAATAGAGCAGGTACATTCTGTAATAGATTTACTCTCACATACTGAAATAGAGCAGGTACATTCTGTAATAGGTTTACTCTTACATACTGAAATAGAGCAGGTATATTCTGTAATAGATTTACTCTCACATACTGAAATAGAGCAGGTACATTCTGTAATAGGTTTACTCTCACATACTGAAATAGAGCAGGTACATTCTGTAATAGGTTTAACCTCACATACTGAAATAGAGCAGGTACATTCTGTAATAGGTTTAACCTCACATACTGAAATAGAGCAGGTACATTCTGTAATAGGTTTACTCTCAAATACTGAAATAGAGCAAGCACAAGACTTGTTATCTTTTCTTTTTCGGAAACCTAGTAATTAGTATTGAGTAGAACCTTACCACACCATTGTAGAATATTCCAGTAATCTTATATAGGACTTACCACACCATTGTAGAATATTCCAATAGTCTTTGATATAACTTCTCGCACTATTGTAGAATATTTCAATAGTCTTGGAGGGGACATTTTTCTTTAAAATTCCCTGACGTTTCGTGATGTGCAGTGTACTGCGATGTACGAAGGGTGGTAACTCCAGTACCATGTTGTAACAAGAAGCGATTATTCCAAGGTTAAATGCAAGCAAAGGTATGCTCTCGACACGAACTTTTAACACATGAGAAGTAACTTTGTTATTGAGGAGTCAAGGACTCTTAATAAGGTAAACTGCACTTCCCTTATTCGGCTCTGAATAAGGTACATTGCATATGCCCTTAGTATGACCAAGGTATACAACAAATCTGATGATCCTTGCTTAACTGGGCAAAGTTATGTTCCGGACACGCAAGGACAGACGGACGGACGGCGAGACGGACAAAGCGGTAACTATCTGCTCCCGCGAATATTTCGAGGAGCATCACAACAGATGTTTGACTCAATATAAGATTATACAATACCAATGATGAACACACAGGAAGTGGATAGACCTAAATAAAGGTATAGACACGAACAAGATTGGATCAAAATGTGAGTTTATTATGATTTTGATCAATCTAAAATTGAAGGTTAAATGTTGTATAATGCAAATGAGCTATGGTAGTGCGTGAGAAAAAAAGAGACTTGAAATTAGCATAAAGAAATATCATAGACGAAGGAATGTTAACGTTTTGATCACAGGAATAATACCCATACATGTCATATTGGGTAAGACATTCGGATAGCTATTCTACCGACGTCCAATGTTAAGAGCTATCCCATATCTAAACATAACCCGGAAGTAGTATTAAACATGTATGGTGGATCAGACGTCCGATTAGTGATACTACGGACAAACGATGTTAAGAGGTGTCCCAAATGTACATATAACCCGGAAGTAGTATCATACATGTCAAAGTGGATCAGACGCGAGTAGTCTGAATGGAATAAAATTTTTGACTTGTTGGAACTAAAGCAGCTTAGGGCCGCTCTTGGCGGCATTGACTTCGTCTGACTAATACTTACTCTTAACCTCAATCCGAGGTCATCGAACCCTAATTTCGACATAACATAGCCAGAATTCATGAAAATGACGGGACTATAAAGTCCACCAGCTTGTCAGTATCAGAACATATTAACAACCGATTGGTTTTTAATTCAATTAGCACGTGTCTTAGAAAAAGAACGAAAACTTTAGATGCGATACAAAGAAAAACATTCCGTCGTTACAATCCATCCAACTTCCATACCAAACAGCCGCTAATGTTAAATGCAAAATCACATGTTATCTTTGGCTCAATTTTTGTTAAATCTTAACAATCACATCGACGTCCTATTCTAAAACCAGATCTCCATCCCAATGACGCTGTATTCTAAAACCAGATCTCCATCCCAATGACGCTGTATTCTAAAACCAGATCTCCATCCCAATGACGCTGTATTCTATAACCAGATCTCCATCCCAATGACGCTGTATTTTAAAACCAGATCTCCATCCCAATGACGCTGTTTTTCTAACAACAGCTTTTCATCCAAACGACGCTCCTTTCTAAAACCAAATCTTCATCCCAATGAGGAATGATGATGACGACGACGACGACGACGACGACGATGATGATGATTTGAAGACGACTTCCTGACCTAATGGTTCCTAACGTCTCCTGATGTTCCGTGTCTGCACTTTCGGTGGTGGAGGGGTGGGGTGTCCTATGCTCTGTGTCCTACCCAACTTCCCGGCTGCCTTATTATGGGTCCTATCTTTAAGATCGAGGATAATTTAGAAGTCCATGCCTAATATCTTATAATAATGATAATTTTCTGATATCTGCAGGCCATTCATCACTGATGAATGTGGTTCTATTTTCTGTGGGAGTTACTCCCCTTTATAAGCGAAGAAAATCAGCACAGAACGAGAGTCCCTCATCTATCAATAAAGTGTAGGAACGTCGTCTTGTTATACATATACTTTTGATATTTCAGGCAGACTAAACTACAAAATAAAGGATGATACCTTCAATAAAACAACACGTGGAAAACATAATGGAAAGGATAACAGGTTCATAGTAAAATAAAAATCTTCTATACTAGTTCACATATGTAGTGATGTCGTTCGTGCGGAAACGTATCATCCAGAAGAAGGACTCCTCCATCTTTCCAGAAGGCCAAGCGACCCTTGCCTCCACTCGGTTGACCAACATGAAACTTTGACATGTTAACTAGTTGTTCTGTTAACCAAACCCATTCACCATCCGAGGTCCGCGGGAATCCTCCGATCCAAATAAGCCAGTAATCTGAAAAAAATAGAATACCTGCATCATCATTATCATCCATAAGTACATAAGTACAAGACAAAAGCAAGTTACAATAGGAGGATTATCATGAAGATCCTAGAACAAATACTTTTCTATGATCAGAGTTTCCAGACGCCAATCTACTGACAGCAAACAACTGTCATTTAGAAGTAACTAAAGATATTGACATATCAATAAAAACAAAATCGAAACACCGCACCCCCCCCCAATAAAAAAAAAATAGAAACAAAAAACAAAAAACAAAAACAAAACAAAACAAACAAGCAAACAAAATCGCTTTAAAGGGGATAGGGATTAAAGAACGGTGATATGTACAATGTGAATACTGAAAATATACCAAAGAAATGTTCCGGAAGGGAAAGCGTCTTTAACTACATCAACTACAAATATGCGATTTCTAGAGGGAACATATCAATGATATAAATGATATCGACAAGTCTGTGGTATAGCTGATACCAGTTCAACAAACTTTGCTTTGGAAGACACATTATAAAATGTTTTATTACCAGCGAAGACAGTTGTTACTTTGGATCCCAAGACCCTATCAATGAGGATGATTACAATATACATATGTACATGTTTTCCCTCTTAATTATCCTACATCGTGATATACCGACAAATATATAACTAATCCTATATTATTACTGGTGAGTTACATCGTAATTAATTTAAAAAAAAAAAGAAATAATTCATTCTTGTCATAACAATGAGATAAACTAAATATTCTGAATATGCACATTGACATAAAAAAAATACCAATATGTCAACAAAACCATATCCTAAGTCATGTTCATTGACACTAGGGCAAAATGAAAGAGAAAGCGCCTTCTGCTTCATCGACGACACCCGCCATGTAAACCTTTGGTCATTCCAAGTAAGTGATGTCACGTTCTCAAATGAGGACAAGGTATACAACAACGGAACCAACTAACGAGCAAAATCGGTAGAACGGCATCAATAGTAATGGTTCAACACGTAGGCTGCATCTCAATAGTAGGATTACAAACACATACTACGTCCTGGGAATAACGTTACGACTTTAAAAAATTACACTTCGAGTAGAGAAAACAACTAACAATCCTAATATTTGCATTTTCTTCGCACAAATTATTATGAAACAGTTAAAAACAGACTTCCCCGTACACATCGTTAGAACAGCGGCGAGTTCCATTGAACATATATCCTACCGACGCCATAACAACAAACTGGTTCAAAGGATAATGTAAATATTTTATATATTAAGCCTAATGATAAATACGTATTATTCATGAAATTCAGTGGAATTAAAAAAAATGTGAACCATTAAGGTCATGAGTTCATATATCGTAATCAATAAATTCAAATTCACATCGGTAAGAGTTGCTTCCCTTGTGTTAAATTGTGTATTATTTTTTTTGTACCTCTGTAATGTTGTGTGAGGAAGAGATCTTAATTAGGTTGATGTCCAATTCCTTTAACATATATGTATGTATTTGTCAAAATTTGAAATTGAAGAAAAAACAAAAAAAAAAAAAAAAAAAAAAACCAAAAAAAAACAAAGAAAGAAAAAGACATGGTTCGTGAAGCAAATTCTTAAATCAATGTTTTGATATTTGCATATAAATTTATCATTTAACATTTCACCTATGTGTCGTTCATGTTTCTTTATGTTCAATATACATGTACCTTTGTATGAGATTATCTGATGTAAACAAATATATACCGTATACTATTGTGAAACTTATTTGCCATGTGTAAATATTGACAAATATGCATACTGCGATTGGTAAAGACTGTGCACCGCTGGTGTTAAAATGCTTACGTGGTTCGTTGTCATACCTTTATATGAACTTTGTACTCCATGGAATTTAGTGTCAGTGTCCGCGACAATTAGACGACTGTCTCGTGATTCACAGTTAGCTTTAGCGTCAGTCCAATTCCTCTTAACTTCTGAGAATAAGACACACAATCCAATTTCTGTATTATATGAGAATGGTGACTGACAATCTGCTTCCCCTGCAAGTACATAAACGGTGAAAAGAAATAATCATTATTTAACATTTGTTCTCTAAAATCACAGAAGGATTGATAAATGTTTTGATGAAAAATTGAAATACTCAAACAAATGGAACTGCTGACATTCAGCTGTTTTATTTAAAACCAGAGAACTCCATTTTAGCGCGATCGTTTGAGTGTAACCAGAATAAGTAGGAATTCTCGGTTCGATCGCTTAATTGATATTAAGTAGCAAAACAAAACAAAGCAAAAACAAAAAAAATGATAATATTGATAAACAAAAAGCAAAAAAAAAAAAAAAAAAAATAAAATAAAATAAAAATAAATAAATAAATAAATAAATAAAATAAACAAAGACATGAAACATCAAATAAAGTAACAAAAATCAAACTTAATCAAGGAATTAAATCTATGTAATACTTTTCCAGACTCTGTTGCTTGTTTGCACTTGTTTGCCTTGAAGTTGCTTATGACGCCTGCATGTAGATGTGTCGTATGCGTACGTAACAAAGTTACAATCTGGCGTGGAGGAACACAATGATATACATCCTATGTGCGTGGGAAGTGTTGAAATATTGAAATGGTCAGTATGGACTGAATCTCTGTGAATGCCCATCTCGACCCAGGCGATGCCTTCCCCTTGCGCATGCGTTATTAACACCAGTCCTATAACACGATTTGATAAATTATTAGAACAATGTCAATATGATAAATAGCAAATGTAATTATTACTTAATGAACACATAACTTTACCAGCACGTTGTAGCTAAATCAGGATATAACGTATTTAGGTTTAAGTAACGTCGTAAAAAAGTACATTTGTAGGCAACGTTACAAAAACGTCTCTGTTTCATGTTTAATCTATGTTGTTCAGGCGTTGCCGAAACGTCACAATTCTATTCCTGCTGTGCAATATCCCATCCTATGATAAAAATACAAAATACTTTAACCTATATTTCATCATTGCAAGTTTCCCAGCTTTCGTTGGGCACTGCTTTCTGATCTTTGATTGCGTGCCTCTTCCAGAATTTTCATTGGGTACTTCTACCAGAACGCTGGATACTCCTTCCAGAACGCTGGATACGCCTTCCAGAACGCTGGATACGCCTTCCAGAACGTTGGGTACTCCTTCCAGAACGCTGGATACGCCTTCCAGAACGCTGGATACGCCTTCCAGAACGCTGGATACGCCTTCCAGAACGCTGGATACGCCTTCCAGAACGCTGGATACTCCTTCCAGAACGCTGGATACGCCTTCCAGAACGCCGGGTACTCCTTCCAGAACGCTGGGTACTCCTTCCAGAACGGTGGGTACTCCTTCCAGAACGCTGGATACGCCTTCCAGAACGCTGGATACGCCTTCCAGAACGCTGGATACGCCTTCCAGAACGCTGGATACGCCTTCCAGAACGCTGGATACGCCTTCCAGAACGCTGGGTACTCCTTCCAGGGCTTCGATTGGATACTGCTTGCAAATCTTTGCATGAGAACAAGCTTTTGTTGGGCACTGCTTCCAGATCTTTGATAAGGTACTTTTCCTGATCTTTGATTGCGTGCTTATTCCATAACTTTTTGGTTACTTCTGCCGGAACTTTGAGTACTTCGTCCGGAACTTTTATTAGGTAATTCTTCCGGAACTTTTGATACTTCTTACGGGACTCTTATTGGGTACTTCTTGCAGGACTTTTGCTGGGTACTTCTCTCTCCCGCCACAGCCTCTCATGTCAGATGATTACTGTAAAAAAGACCTTGCTGCTACATATCAGCAATGGGCTCATGTATCTTACTTTGACTTATCGCCTTTGATTTTCCTCAGTCGACTCTAAAGAGTCACATGTAGGACCTAAGCACCACTGACTAGTCCTAGAAGGACAAATTTGTAATTACCTTTTTATCTTTCGGCTCAACTTAGTCTAATTCGAAATTTGCATTGAAATGTGTTATCAACTTGTGTCTTTGTACAATTATTATTCCATCATACCTGCCAGGTGAAAATATCTAAGATACATTGTACATGGATGTACAGTTAATATGTGAAATGACAAAGCATTTAAAAGAGCGTAGCATTTACTTATTTTCGTTTATGCATTAACACAGCACTCTATTCCAAAGCGCAATTTGCTTTTTAGAGTTACCTCCCTTATATGAACGTTTCCCAAGCATTGCAGTGATGCGTCCGGTTTCCCTCTTTTATCTAATTACGTCGAAATTCGGATTCATTCAGTGATACAAGTTTATCTCATTAATTTGAAGAATACTTTTCGTTTGAACCTTATTTCGCAGCGGTTTTCCCACTTAAATCTGTATGATGCAGTTTAATTCAATGTTTGGGTGTTATTCACTTGTGTGTCGTTTGTACAATCTTTTAAATATCAGGTGGTGGACACTGCTGGTAGGCCTAAGTCCCCGAGGTTTGCCGTAACCTGCATGTCACGTTTTAATTTATTCGAATAGTGTCACGGTTCAGAATATACACATGTATTTGACGCTGTTCTAAAATAACCTGATGTATGAAATTTACAAAATGTAATTAATTATGGGAACGCTGCACCTCCTTGAGAAGATTTTGAATTTTCTTCCGGTCACTTTGGATTTTCCTCAGTCGCCTTTTTTGCATCACAATTTTGGCCCTTAGCGTCACTGAAGGTCTTAGAATTGACATCACATCAGTCTGACGTCAATTAAAAATATCTACCATTTCCATTTCCAGTATTGCTTAAGGCTTCTATCTGACATAACATCTTTCTGATATCAGTTACAAATATCTACCGTTTCCAGTATTGCTGAAGGATTCTATTTGTCATTACAACAATCTGTTATTAGTTATAGATGTAGGCAATTTCCATTTACTGCATTATTAACGACGAAAGCGTATTTCCGCGTGATTGACGGCTGAATAACCATAAAAGGAAATGATCTGATTGTCATGGCTGAATTGGAGACACCAGTATATTCGCTACATTTGTTTAAAGAACACTAAAAATATTCTGAGTTTCTATCAATTGATCAAATATTTGTGATAAGCCTAGCGTAGTATCAATAATTGGGGGCGTTGATTTATCTGTTTTGAATGCTGTACCAAATACGGATACAAGAACTGCACGTATGGTTGGAAGTGTATGTCATGAAACGAGAGGGAGATGAAACATAACGGTACTACCTTGTTTTGGTATGAACGATATTAATCTGGAAAATAGGAAATCCATATCTGTTTGTTTACACATATTTTTTCATAATTTAGTGATATTGACAAAAATGCCGTTATGGCTACGAAAGCAGTGTTACATGTAAACAATCAAAATTAAGTTAGCAAATAAAAGCAAAAAATGTTTGTTGAAGAGATGATGGCTTTTGTGTTACAAAGCGAAAGTGTTATACAGCTCTCGTGGTGTATTTATAAAATAATGTTCCAAATATAGCCTGTATGACTGTTTCAATATAACAAAGTAACAGATACCTGTGTGATGTGTTCCCTCGGCCACGTGCTTTTGTTCTCGTCGTCATTCGATATTTTCCCTTTGTCATGTGATTTGATCCCCGTGTCATATGATATGTTCCTTTTGTCATATGATATGTATTTTTGGTCATGTGATATGTTGCAAGAGTCATGCGATCTGCTTTCCGGGTCATGTAATGTGTTACTCCGGTCATGTGATATATTTCACGGACCTTTTATTTCTTCTATGGGCTGTGCGATCTGTTCTCAATAGATGTGTTTTTTGAGCACTGGTATATGTTCTCGTGTCTTCTGCGGTCTTCCCCAAGTCTCGTCATGTGATCTGTTCCTCGAGTCACGTCATGTGATGTGTTCCCCGTGTCATGTGATGCATTCCTCGAGTCAAGTCATGTGACGTGTTTCTCGGGTGATCTGTGTCAAGTCATGTGATTTGTCCACCGGGTCATCTTATTTATTCCCCGAGTCGCGTCATCGCGGACCATACGATGTTTCTCGGGCCATTTAATTAACTTTCCGCATCACGTGATTTGTTCTCCCGACCATACATTTCTTTACGAGTACGAGGAAATATAAACAGCCACGCCTTAAGAAAACCACATAGACATAGAAATGATCGTAAACCCATGAGCTCGTCGTTTCCCTCGTGCTTATAACAAATATAAACTGTATACTATAAAGCCCAATAACAAAACTAAGGTTTTTCTCAATATTAAACTAAATAAGTTAAAGAAAAAATGACAAAACGGCAATCAAGAGGAATGAAGTAAAAGCCTGCCGGTTAATTACGGGACATCTCGTACTGGAAAGAACCAGGTCCGGTACCTTCATAAACAGCAAAATACATTCATACTAACCGAAATACACAAATTACATCCAAAATACAATATTTTTTGAAAACGAATGATATTATTCACCATATTTGTACTTACCTGTAATTATGTTTAAGGTATCCATCCCCCTCATGAATGCTTCTCTAAGTTGTTTCATACGAAAGAAATCCTATATCAAATATGAAATGATTAAACATCAATATCATTAAAATCTACCAGGACGAACTTTACACAATTCTCATGATATCAACAGTTTGATTTGTGAATGTTCGATTACAATAAAGAATAACGAAACATATGCGCTCCTTGTAGAGGAAATGGTCGCTTACTTAATTCACGTAAAAAGATATGTTTAATCGCATCGTTTCAAAAATCAGACCAAGCTTAAAAAGACAAATTAAATTTGTAATACCTGTAATATCTTCATGTATCTATAATACCTGTGATATCTACTTGTATCTATGGTAACAAATTTTTTATATATATGCTATTGTAAACAATAAACAACTTTATTTTCTACTTTAAACGTGACAAATTGTTACCTCAATTGGAAAAATCAACTCGGTTCCGAGAGATATCCATCATGAAATCTTGGAACTCAGTCCGAAGTCAAAGCTCGCTGCAAAGAGAAGCTGCCGATTGTACAATATCATTAATATAATGTTTACACGTACGTTGTTCAGTCTCAATATAAAGCCTGCAGAACCCAATATTATACTTATCGATTCAAAATGCGGGTTGATTTGGTTTGCGCGCGGGTATACGGTCTTGTCATTATAGATGTAAACGGAATGAGTTTGTTTAAAGTAATGTAAATATGAAGACATCTTATGCAATGTTAAACGATATAATGCAGTTGTAAATAGAAAATAAAAACATCAATTTTATCCTGTGTAATTGGAACTATTATATTGCTGTTTGTGTCACTTCAGCTTCACATTGCTATTTAACCAAAGTGTTTGTTTTTTAAATGTTTTATGACAAATGTGAAATTTAAACAAATATAACTGATCTCCTGTACCTGAAGAGAATTGTATTTACATTGGGGTGGCGACATATTTGATAATAGTCACCAAAATGGCGGTACAGAAATAAAATAACAATTAAAACAATCCTTAAATGGTTTCTACATAACAACCTTTCTAAACTCACAACTCTAAATATTGAACATAACTGATTCCTTTATGCGTTTGTGTTATCATTAGAGTACTATCGTCATTTTTATTTCTCTGTGTGACGTTTTACTCAGTCTAGAGTAGCGTCGCCATTTTTATTTCTCTGTGTGACGTTTTACTCAGTCTAGAGTACCGTCGCCATTTTTTTCTCTGT